ATTAGTGACATAGATTGAGACATTTTTTTTAGACAGCTGCTTGCAACAGTTTAATACAAAAAAACATAATACCCAGACTCGAGGTCACAGTATTTATGTTTGGCTGTTCAGAATGCTCAGTATTAAGTGGAATACTACTCGAAAAAGACAACACTGTCCTAAGATGATCTTATGATTATTAGAGGCCGCAATTTTACGTCTGTTTCTATGAGTTATAATCTCAGCCTTGCGGCCTACACGGGTGCCGAAAATTCACTTTAAGCTACCTCACTTTCATCGCACATTTTAATAAGACTTTAAAATTTCAAGTGTACTTCTTCCCATCCTGAAGTTGCTAATTTCAATTCATTCGTCCCGCATGTGCGATAAATTGCGCTATAAATATCCTTCACATTTATAATATTATGCCAGGCTTCGACTTTGGACACATTTTATTTCTTGCAACACACAAACATGGTACCTTGAGCGCATTTTGCTTCGCAGGCATGCCTTTCGAGAAAGTTGTTGGAGTTGCCGCCGCAAGATCCATATGAGAATTGCTCGCATTTGCCGGTTTGTGAATTATAGAACCAACGCGGCACGTATTCGAAGCAACGTCCTGCATCTGGTGGTAACACACATGTGTCGTCATCTTCCAGCTGCAGCTGCTGCAAAGATGAGACACCTCGAGCTGCTACTGGTACTGGCGAAACTGCTGCTACCGGAGGACTTAACAACTCCACTTTTTCTGATCCTTCGGTCATCGTTCTGTGTGCCAGATTCGCGTCTTCTTGATGTATTGCAGTTCGACTCTTTAATTCTTCCCGAATTTCATCTGTAATTACGTCATGCAAATGCATACAAGCTTTTTCCGTGCTGAATGAGTTCCAGTTCGGTTCAATACAAAAAATTTATCTAATGATTGACGTTTCAGAAATAACTTAGCGTTCCCTGAATGTAACACTCTTACCTGTCAGAGCATTCTGAAAATGACTTATTCCGACTCTTACAGGTACTTTTTTGCTTGTTTACATACGCTTTTCGTAGAGGTTTATAAGTCTGACCTAATACCATAAAAATACAGTACTGTGACTCATCAGTATTCCTCACTTTGAGGAAGAGATGAGGACGACACTGAAGTGGCAAGTTTTTTATAAATTGCACTACAGTACTATTTCCACTACTGCTCTCTTATTCCCACTCTTTAAGAATCCGAATCAAAAAAAACCTTGAGCAGGGGTGCTTTGCGCCAAATGTGCACTGTGCTTTGTAGTGTGCTGCTGTTGTTGCTGCGGCTGTGCAAGTGTATTGGGGTGCTGTGCAGACTGTAACTCAGATGCTGAAGCTGTAGCTGAACCAGGTGGATGCGGTGCGAATCCCGGTGCAGGAACGCCCATTCTCTGGTTCAGCTGTGGTACAGAGCCATTCACATGTTGGTTTGTATTAGTCTGTTTCACTGCGCTTTGGTGCATCTGATGCAGCTGTTGCTTCTGCTTTTGTTCTCTGAAACCCAGTCTTGATGCATTGCTACCGTAGTCACTGCGTTCCATACCGTAATGTTGTTGCTGAATGGAAAAGTTGGTGAAAATGGACGAATCGGCATTGAATTCGTATATTTCATCCGGCTCTTCATAAGAATTTTTGGACTGCACTTTTTTGCTCACTACACTGCGCTCCGTCACGATCTCTGAAGTAGGCTGCATCAAGTTCGACGAAGCTGTGACAGATGTGACCGGCATCGCACTGATGGTAACGGCCGCAGCAGTGATGTCACCGGCCGCTGCAATCACGACCTGAGTATTAATAAGATCAAGCTGCGCTGGGAGCTGATGGCCAGAAAACTGTATCCTGCGCTGCTGCAGCTGCTGTCTTCCAGGTAGCCCACGCTGAGACTGCTGCTGGCCAGAATGTAGAGAGCCCGGATGCTGGATCTGCTGTTTCATGGTGAATACCTGAGATGGTGAGGAGATGGGTTGTAAACTGGATGGCAAAGGTGGCTGAGAAAAGGCAGAAGAGACAGATAAGGTCTGTAACCCTGCTTCAACCGTTGGTCCTATGAGTGGAATATGAGCAGCTGTTGATGAAATATTTTGCGATTCAGATATCTCTGAA